TTTTCCAATACAATTTCTTAGATAAAATAATTATATTATTCTTTAAAGTCACGTCTCAAAAACGTGTAAAATAAATATTTGAAAAATCTTTAAGTTGATAATTGTACAAACATATTTTATGTTACAAATATTCTCAAAACTTTAATTAATAAAATTTTTTGAAAAAAAATAGAAAATAATTAAGTATTAATTTTAAGAATTTAAAGAATTTTTAAGAACTTTTTTTTTATTTAAATTTCTTCTATTTTATTAAACCAAATACTCCAAAAGATATAAATAAATAATATTAGACCTATACTCAGACGTCTTTTTTCTATCCATTTTATTTGTTATATTTAAAAAAAGTAAAATTATTTTTTCTCATTATCTAAAAAACAGCTGTCTATACTTAACGGACGAAATAATATACTCGCCCGTTTTCCAGATACTCGATTTTATCTTGAACGGGCGAAATAATATATTTTTCTTATTTTGCCCGTCTTCTAAAACACATTCATTTCGACGGGCGAAATAGCCAGTTCACAGAGTCGTATCTATTTCGCCCGCGACGGGCGAAATAACAGAAATGAATTAGTTCGCCCGCGACGGGCGAAATAGCCACTCCGATAAAAAAATTGATGTATAAAAATTAATATAAATATTAATAATTAATATTTTTTTTATATTATTCATAACAGAGACATTTGGAAAAGAAAAAGAAATTATACTAAATTGACGGAGAAAATTTGTAGGTTAAATTTACTATATTCAATATAATAAATTCTGAAAATTCTTTCTGTCATTTAGGGAAAGGTTGAAAAAAAAGTCACTTTTAGAATGTACAAGTAGGTGCTCTCACTTTTTTTTCATGTTTCGTGACTTTGATCATAAAAGTTGAGAATGTAATGAGGAAATCGACTTTAATTGGATAGAATGTGAGCATGCAAACATAATTTTCATATATTGACATAACATGCAAAAATTATGTCTTACGCGAGGCTTCTTATATTCGCGACAATATATTTTGGAATTGCATGTTTTTGAAAATTTATAAATAATTATAATAACATGCACTATTTTTCTCTACTTTCCTAGTAAAACAAAAACGAAGAAAATAACAATAATAGTTGTAAAAATAGGTAAATATAACAAAAATTTTATAATAGAATAATTTAAAATCATCAAATAAAATGAATCTTTTATTAAATTATCATGCAACTGTGATAAAAGAGAAAGTTATTTTTTTTTTGTAATTTCTATAATGCTGGAATATGGTGACAAAATGAAAGATAAAATAAAATTTAAAAAAAATTCAGTTTCGATAATCCAAGAAAGTTTGAAAGAAAGTTTTTTTTTTTTTGAAAGTTCTTCATTTTCAGTGATAGAATAAAAGTAGAGTTCTACAAAACCAAAATTACCAATTACTTTGAATTCAAAAGTATAAAAACTTAAAAACATAATTTTTTTAAGGAGAACAAAAATTGATAAATTAAATTTTTTTCTTTAATTTAATTTTTCAATATATAAACGATGCTGAAGTACACAACGTTTATGATTAACGATTTTTAAAGAAATAATTTTTTAGAATGAAAAATTCTATAATTAGAACCAAGCTAGTTATAATTAGATTTAAAATTTTTTATATTACATTTGCATTTAGTTTTTAATAAGTACCTATACTATTGTACAAAAGGTCATGTCCCGTCAACTTAATAAATGAAAATCAAATAATTTTTTATCTGAAAAATATTTCTTATAGTTTATTATTAATCAAAAAATTAGAAAAAATATTTTTTTAAGTAAACAATTTTGAAAATTTTCCATGTTAAATAAAAATTGATTTATATATATATATATAAATTATAAATTTCCTATTTTTAATTTTTAATTACCATTGTTTATATTTTGAGGAAATTATTTTTTTTGAATAATAAAAATTAGTTGAAGTTCCCTTAATTTTTTTTCTTATAATAATACGATGTCTTTGTATGTCGATGACCCAGTAAGTACATAACTTTATAAACACGAGAGTGTTGCGTGTATCATAAAGGTCAGATGGAGACAATCTTCGAATGTATCGAATGTCGATAATTTGATTCGAATAAGAAAGTCTCGCTAGTCATTCTTCGTGTCGACTAAGTCAAAAGAATGCAAACGTGTTTTCCCCAAGTCCCCCTTCCTCCTTCATCTCTTCATCATCAAAACCTCTTCAATAAAAAAAAAAACCGAAAAAAAACCCTTTCATTGTACCTATATAAATACAATATATTTAAAAATACTAATATTTATTTCATGTCTAATAATAATAATCATAATAAAAATAAAAATATTATTTCTAATAAAATATATATTATATAGTAATAAATAATATAAATAATTTTCCTTCTTTTCAATTATTTATAATTCTGGGATTTTAATTATTAGTGATACAAAGGATTTCGTGTGCATTTGATCCCAAGTTAATAACCTGCCATTAATTAACAACCGTAAGCTCCTTCCGTTGAGTGCTTTATTTCTGCTGTGAGGAGAATACAAAATATCTTCATTCATATTCCTCATACTTAAAACAATGTTGGGATGCTGTGTGCGGCATCTCATCTTGCCACAGCTTTAATAATTATTACCTCAAGAAACAATAGAGTAACGATTTTGTCATCGCTTCTGGAATGAATATCATTACACAATGCAATAAATTGCGTGTTTTCAATTTCATTACGAGAAGGAGGGGTGGGGGGATGCTGTCAATGTATCTATTAAATTGCAAACGACAACGGAATTTCTCCGAGGAGTTAGTAAATTTTCATAAACATAATTCATGTACATTCCAAAGCAAAGGAAGTGAATAAACTATATATAAAATAACTATTTTTCTTTTTAACTTTAAGTAAAATAATTATTTATTAAAACACAAATCATAATAAATTAATTTTTTTTTTACTTTGTTAGATAAATTAATTTATTAAGAATAACATTTTGAAAATTTAAAAATCTTTTTAAAAAAAACTCAACATTTTTAATTTTTGAGATTATTTTTTTTTGGCTTATTTTTGTTGATAAATTGACATAATTATTATTGATTGATTGTTTTAAAAATTTTGGGCTCATTAATTTGATTCATCTACTTCTCATATTATAATAGAAATTAATTATTATTTATTAATGAATTATTATTAATTATATTATTTATTATTATTAATATTATTAATATTATTAATATATAATAATAATATTAATTATTATATAATAGAATTCGTAAATTATTTACTTGCAATTTGTATTAAATTTGATTTTCAAAATCATTTTTATTTAAGAAGGAATAAAAATAGACAGTCAAATCAAAAGTTAGTCCAATTTCATATTCTTTTATTTTTAAATTCAAAAGTAAGTTAAATAATAATAAAAAAGTTTTTTAGTGAAGGTAATAAACAATTGTATTTTTACCACTTTGAAACATTAAAAATTGTCATTGAATAAAGATTCAAAATTTAAGAATAAAAAATAATAAAATTTTTAGGTGAATTATTTCTGAACCTTAGAAAAGTGTCAAAAAATAAAATAAAATTCACTTAAGTACTGTTTAATTATAAATGAATTTTTGACTTACAAGAATAAGAAAATCTCAAGTTAAACTAACTTTTGATATGACTGCCACGGAGAAAAATGGGATTGTGGTGTAAACAATTTTTGGATTGTTGTCAGTAGATTTGTTAATATTAGAATTCGGTTGCAATTCCCTACAGTTGCAGAAGGAAACTCTCTATCGATTGCTGATGGAACAATCCGGATTTGTTCATAAGGCAAGTTTATTGTTCCATGTCACGTGGTCATTTTGAATTCTCGCAAACTGGCGTGCAGATCGTCACATCGTTTGCTTCTGGCACATGTGCCACTTTTGCTTTTATTATTAGTTTTTTTTTTAATTAACAAAGTGCTGTTAAATAATGAATCCGGTTAAAGTGAGAAATCTATTGCAAGTGTAGTAAATATATAAAGAGACAATTTCATCGTTTATCGGTAAAATTATACTCGGTTACTATTGAACATAACCTCGCATATTAAAAAATACAAAATGCATATTAAATATTATTTAAAAACAAATTTCAACTCAAAATAATTTTTTGGTTTCAGGTCAAAGAATTTGATTCAGAAACTGCATGTTTTATAGATTTTAATGCAAATGAAACTAGTGATATGACCTACGGAAATCTGCTATCGATTATTTTAGAAGGCAAAGAAACTGAACAAATTATATTAGACGGATCAAAGCTTTGTTAATACAACAAATTGTCTTGCTGATTTAACAATTTAGTTTTGTTTTTTCATCTGTTCCATAACAATTTTCTTTGTTCATGAAACAATTCTGTTTGTTCATCGAACAATCCAAATAGTTTAAATAATACTTTCATTTTAACAACTTTTTTTGTCTTAAAAACAAATAGAACTGCTGCTTCTATATTGACAATCTGGAATTGTTGTGTGGAGTTAATTTTTAGTAATCACAACAATTCTTTTTTCTCCGTGATGTCTATTCCATTTCTCATAAATGATTTTTATCTCTGTTTTTTAAGAAAAACAATTTTTATATTTTTCTAACTAATTAAACTTTTATAATTATTTTATTCTACTAAAAAATAGTCAACTGAAAAATTTGCAATATTAAACATTGTCTTAACAATGTGAAAAAAAATAAACAAAAAAAAAATTTAGTCTCATAAAAATTATTGGGCGAATTATTCAAAAATTCAACACAATAACAGGACAAGGAATTTGAAGAAAAGAGTCATAAATTTTTTTTTAAAGTCTTTTTATTTAAAGATCTGTCGCTTTCTTTTCAGAACAATTTGATGTCGCTTATTTTATAAAATATACATACACATTTATTTATTTATATTTTGGTCGACCCTTAGAAAAATAAGGGCGCCCCGGGAAGATTTGGCGGTCGGCTGAGAGAGAAGGGAAAAAGGAAAATTTATGGAGAGGATGGGATGAGGATAAGGGAACAAGGATATCATCAATATATATAAAAAAAAAACAAAGAAACAAAATTATAACGAGCAATGCTCGCGACTAATCACTTTTGAAAATAAAAAAATAAGGAAACGAGGTCTATATTACACATCGAGTCTCACTTTTGCGGATCTAACAAGTCCGCCACTTTCTCTCCTGCTTTTTTTTTTTTTTTTCTTTTTTTTTGTTTTCTAATAAAGAGATTCTTTTTGCATCTTTCCAGGGAGATGCTGCTCGGGTACTCTTCGTCATTAATGCGAAAATGAGACATTTTCAAAAAAGACGGTCGCGATGCAATCGTTCAATTATGACTTATCATATAATATTTATAATTTAAAACACGGAAGCCTTTTTTGTCCACACAAGAATCGACTTGAGTGGAACGAGAGCTACTCTACTAAAAAAAAAACAATTATATCGCGCGTGTAAAAAAACGTATTTTGTTTTTTTTAATCCATCATTTTTAAAAATGCTAAGTTCGCTTCTTTTTTATGTTTTTTTTTTTTTTTATAAGTATGAATAAATCTGACTTAGAAGTGATGACCTTTAGAAGAAACCATCTCCAGTGGGATCATTGATCCATGGATAGTTATTGGGACAACGAATGCAAGTTTGAAGATTAATTGTCTCTCCGGGGACTTCCTTGGATGTCAATTTACATGTGTGTGGAACCCAACATGCTGGTGGTCCTTCGACAACACATTTGTCTCTCCATGATTCGAAATTCTTTGATTCAGTGACTGTCTGTGGATTTTGAATCCATTGAATGACTTGTGTCATTGTTACAAAATAGACATCATTGTGATTTGCTAAAATTTCATCGATCCAATATAGAAAGGCATCGAGAAATTCGGGATTATTTTTTAGCCATGCGGCATGGAAATAGAGACCCAATGGTGCTCGATTTTGTTCGTAATGCCTATCAAAGTTGTGATTCAAGAAATTGTAGAATTGATCACCAGTTAATATATTGCTGCATGAATCGACCATAGCACATCCTGGAAGATATTCGTCATTTTGAGGATCTTCTCTTCGGTCCAGTTCGTTCATTACCATTTCCCAAACTGCGTGAGATCTGTCCGAAAAGGTGAAAAAAAAACGATAAATTTATTAAATATTTCTTTTCGAAAGGAACTTTATTTTTATTAATAATGTTCTTGGGAAAAGCAAGTTCTTCCAGTTTAAAGCAATTCGTGAAGAGAAAAAAAAAACAAGTTTTTCCAGTTTGAAGCAACAATAATGTTAGTATGGGCGAAAGAAGATATTCTGGTTTAAAGCAATAATTTGAACAAAAACAAGTTTTTGTTTTTTTTGATCAGTGGAGAAAGAAGAAAATTGTTTAAAAGATGAAACTACTGTGCAAATTCTATACAGAAAAAAAAGTATTTTAGATGATTGTGCTGTTATTTTTACTAAATACTTTTAAAAAATAGAATAGCAAACATAAACACAGAGCTGATATTGAACAAATGAATTTAGAAAAATTCAAAAATAGAAATATTTGAAGCAAAAATAATTGAATTATAGGATGAAAAATTAAAAAGCAACATTACCTAGTGGGACAGTGTTGAAGATTTCCATGGCATCGATGTGGCATTCTAAAATACATGGTGTAGGGCCAAAGTGGAGGATTATTGAGGGCCGAAGTAATTGTTGAATCATAGAGAAAAGCTTGTTCCTCCATCATTGTAAATTGATTGTTGCCACCAACTCTTAAATATGGTGCACGAACACCAACAACACTGTTGTCCGTTAAATTGGCATATTTCTCAATAATTACTCTCATTCCCGCCATTTCTTTTGCCCAATCATCGACTGTTGCGTCTGACCAGAATCTCTCGTCATCATTGTGCCTAAATAACAAAACAATTTGGAATTTAAATCCGCGGGTACATAAATTTTTTGGAATTTTTTTTTTTTTATATTCTATTAATTCTTACGAAATTGAATGCACTGCAATTTCGTGACCCTTTCTGTGCATTTCTTGAACAGCCGAATAATTGGTGTATTTGTGTGAGACAAAGAATGTTGCCTTAATATCACAACCATTTGGATTACGACGTTTTCCATTGAATATTTCCTTGTAGAGACCAATATTATTATTATTGATAGCATCATCGAATGTAATGGTGATCATTTGTGGAACATCTTTGTATGGTAGATCACCTGGTATTGTTGTACCATCTTCGGAGCAGAAGCAATCAGGCAAGACACAAACAGTGGGATCACAAGGTGGAGCTCTATTGGGATCATTATCCATATCTGAATTGAGCGGAAAAGAAATTCAATTCAATTATTTAAATCCTATCAAGGATGGTTAATTTCAAAAAAATTTTTTTTTTAATTATAAAAAAGAATTGGTATTAGAATTGATTACTAAAAGTGGATAATAAAGGTATTAACCTGAATGGCGTAAAGTAAATTTAATGAAAGATTATTAGCATAGAATTGGGTCAGTTTAAGATCCAAATTTAAAAGATTACAAAACAAAATCAATTGACATCAGAAGTTCAAATTACTAATTCAAAATTATTTCAGCTAAGAAAAGATAATTCTGATAAAAATGAAAGTTAACTCAAGTTTGAGTTTATGTAATTCTAACAATGTTAATTAAAAATAAAATCCTTGGATGTAAGAATAAAATCAGTGCTTAAAAATTAAAATCAGATCAAATTTAATTCAAAAGTCTTCTTGATAAAAAAATCTTCATAAAAGATAACTAATTTTGAATTAAAGAAATGAAGCATCAGTTACAATGACAGAACAGACTTAATGAAAGCAAAGTAATAAAAATAAAGAATTTAAAGATCCAACTGAATTGATTAAAAATGAAAGTCAATTAATAGCCATCCATTAGAAATTTCTGCTTGATCTTATAAGTTTTAAAAGATCAAGACAAATTAATTTCAAGTTGAAAGCTAATTAATAAAAGATCCAGAGCAAATGAATTAAAGATCCAGGGTTTAAAAATAAAATTCAATATCAATTAAAAAAACTAATGTTAGCCATAAGAATTTTCCGATTAATTGTGATTTTGTTGTATTGGTACAACAGACCCTTGCACTTACCACAAATATTTTCATCGGATCCATCATTACAATCTGTTTCGCCATTGCAAAAAAGTCCTCTCTCGATACATTCTTGATTTCCACAGGCGAGTTGACCTTCCGGACAAAGTGGCTCCTCAGTATAGAGAAGGGGCTTGGCCTTCCTCTCTTTGTTTGTTGATTTGCAATTGTGCACTGCATCCTTCCAATCACACGTTTGTTTGTCAATGTCGAAATATAATCCCGCGGGACATCTCAAAGCTTGAATTCCTGAACTCGTACACTGAATAACATCACGGCAATTGTCACCCTCACCAGCCTGTAGTCGAAACCATTCTCCGGCGTCCTTGTCCTTACAAAATTCGTCCTTGACGTTATCCTTCTTATCGTCCTGTCGCTTCCATCGACTCAACAATTTTCCCTCTGAAATTGTTTTTCGATTTGTCACGATTTGAAAATTTTTTTTTTTTCGATTCTCGATTCAAAAATTCTGAGTTTTAGATTTTTATGCTTTTTTAAAAAATTTTATTATACTTTTTATGGTTTGCATTTTGAGTTTTAATTTTATTTTAGCAGTTTATGTTTCATTTTTAGATTATTACAAGGATCACCAGTTGGTATAATTTTTTTTCACCTAATACCCCTTTATTAACAAAATTTAGTACCAATTGAATCACACATTTGATTCATTCAATTAAATGTATGTATACATAAATTGAAAAGATTTTGGTGCAGCAGCTGCACTCATAGCAAATATTAAGTATATGAATTTAATTGAATGTAGAAAATTTTCATTTGGGACAGCTGCTGCACTAAAATTTTTTCAGTGTACCTGAACTTCTGAATGTTAAAATAAACGAACAATTTGTTTATTACTTTTTTAATTGCAAAATTTATTATCAAAAATTGCTCTCTGTATCCAACAATAAATTAATAATTTATTAAATGTTTAATGTACTTTTTTATTTTTCATTGTTGTATTAATTTTTAAAAAATTCATAGATAAAATTATTTCGTTCATTTGAATGATTAGAACTTCAGGCACATATCAAATGATTCGTTTTTTTTAATCAATTTTTTTCTTCATTCAATCAAATTTATTGAAGAAAACCAAAATATATTTTTTTTAATTTATTTATAAAAAAATGAAATAAAAAACAGTAAAAACCCGAATTAATTAAAACAAATAAATGAAAAAAGTAAATTTTTTTTTAAATTTATACTTGATATAGTATTTTTTTATTTTTAAAATCCTCTCTTTTTGAAAAACCTTTTTTTTTTTTTTTAATCTAAAATTGAACAAAAAAAGAACATTGTGATATCAAAAAAAAAAAAGGCGAAATTAAAATTTTCTAATTCTATATAGATGAAAATTTTAAATTTTCAAAATTCTAGTTTTCTATAATGAAAATTGATGTGAAAATTCTTTTTTCTAAATCTATATCACAAGAAAAATAAATCCTCCTCGTTATAGAAATTTTCAATCTAACTTTCACTCTACTTTTCAGTTCTACTTTTTCAGAAAAATTAAAAAATTACATCTCTCAATTTCCTTCTCGACTATATCAGTAAAAGTGAGAAATATCGAAGGTGTTGAGAACATGTATATAAATGGTGGTCGGGTACAAGTCACGCGTAACCCTTTAATTTTGTTTTTCGTCTTGCGAAGTGACGAGCGGGGAAAGTTGTCCCCACCGTCTTCGGGTGCCCGGTGGAGTGACGTCATCCCTCTATCTGGGACCACAACCAGATTCTTTACTTTCACCCTCTAATCTCTTATGCAACTATCGTCGCGGTCTTATATTATTAAAAAATAATAATAATCAAAAGTGGAGCAAATATTTCAGTATGCTTTGCGAAGAAAAAAACAAAATTATTTCATATGTTCAAAACTATATATATTTTTTTTTATTTACAATTTGTCCAATTTTTTTTTGTCAATAAACGTTTAGAAAAATTGTACCTTTTTTTTGGAAATTGTTTTTTAAATAATTTTTCTTTGATTCTCCGAGTTTTTATTAATCGTTTAAAAAAAAATTTTTTTTATTTAATTGAAATCATTTAAAAATTATACTTATTTTTCATTGTTTTTAAATAATTTTTTATTTCAATCCTCCGATTTTATTCTATTTTTTTTACAATTTATTGGGAAATTTAATTTTTTTTACCATTTTTTTATTGTTTCAACATTTTTTTTTTAAGAATTTTTTAGTAATAAATTTTTTATTATTAAACTTTATTTTCCTATTGTTTTGAATTTTATTCATTTTTCAGTATTTTCCCCACTATTGGAATACTTTTTTTTTCTCCTATTTTTAAAAATATTTCTCTTCTGTTTTGAATTTTTTCTTTTAGCACCATTTTTGAAATTTTTTCATTTAATTTTTTCGCATTTGGAATGGAAAAAAAATTTTTTTTTTTTGTTTCTTTTTTGCGCTGAAAACTCTTGTATTTTTTTTTTTTTTTTTTTTTTTGATGACACTTTTATAATTTACTCACCGGCGAGAGTGAACGCGACTGCTACAAGTAGCAGTAGCAGCGTGAACTTAGGCATATTCCTCACCCTCACCCGCATCTCACGGGATTATTGTTATCCTGATAGGCGACCCCGTCTTTTAAGTGCAATCACTCTTCGCGGCGCGGAAGTCGTGAAATGGGTTATCACACTACTACTTACTTCCTTTGGGGGGAATTTAAAAAGGCGATCGCGCGCGAGTGCGCCTGCGCGATTAAAAAAAATTAATTATATTATACAGGGATTATGGACCTTCAGACTTTTGGTACCGTTTTCAAAGGACTGGCTGAGGCGCCCCATTCACTGAGCCTTATATTGCCACCTCCACAACGTTCTATGAACGGTCCCCACTTTATGTATATATATACATATAGTAGTTGAATATACTGTTCATGAAGACTCCTCAGGAACGTAACGTGACCATTTTGAACCAGGATACTTTCTTTGGCTCTTGGAGGTCTCATCCGAAAGGCACCTTTGGAATTATCGTCATCCTGGGAGAGAGAAAAGGTGTGTGTGTGGGTGCTTTTCAGCTTGCTGATGACCTTGCTGATTATATTATTCGTTGATACTTTACCGCTGGGAATACATCATTTTCATATTTAAGTGAAATGTCACTATGATTGAAGAATTTTTCTCGTTTTTCATTAACATTATTCTGATGCGTTTCCGCTTTCTCATTTCTGTGTTTGTCGAAATTGTTATACTATTTTTGGGTATAGATGAAAACATTTCTTTTTGTAAAAGGTTGATTTATTTTTTACTTCCTCTTTCTTCATCATGTTTTCTTTTTGTTATTCCTGTTATTATTTTGTACATCGTCATTTTTAATGTTCTTTTTAGGGTTCCGTACTCGGTTCGGAACCCTATTAATATCGGTTTTTTTGAAATCGTGTACCCCCCCCCCCCCTAGCGGCCACACAAATTTATCTGGAGGGCTGAAAATTAGTACACATATGTATTTTCGCGGGTAGATTACAGGAAAAATATAGCGAACTTGATTGGAATTGATTAACATAGCGTTGTCAAGGAAAAACCATGAATTTTTACGAAAAATGCTTAAAAATGACTATGTACCCCCCCCCCCCTAGCGGCCACATCTTTTGACATAAAGAGCTCAAATTTGGTACACTTACGTATTTTTACGTGAAAATTACAGGAAAAATATAGCGAACTTGATTCCTATCAATTTACATAGCGTTGTCAAGGAAAAATCAAAAATTTCGAAAAAAAATGATTTATTCTCCCTAGCGAACACAATATTCTAACCAGACACTTCATATTTAGTATACAAATGTATTTTTACGGGAAAAATACAGGGGAAAAAAAGCGGTCACGATTAGAGTTGATGATTAACTTTTTATCAAGTTTTTCAAGAAAAAATGACATTTTTAGGAAAAAAATGTATTTTTCCACCAAAAACGAACAAAATTTTATTTAAAGGAAATTAAATTTACATATTTTAACGTATTTTTACGTGTAGATTACAAAAAAAATATAGCGAGCATGATTGGAGTTGATTATCATAGCGTTGTCAAGGAAAAACCATGAATTTTTACGAAAAATACCTAAAAATGACTATGTACCCCCCCCCTAGCAGCCACATCTTTTGACATAAAGAGCTCAAATTTGGTACACTTATGTATTTTTACGTGAAAATTACAGGAAAAATATAGCGAACTTGATTCCGATCAATTTACATAGCGTTGTCAAGGAAAAATCAAAAATTTCGAAAAAAATGATTTATTCTCCCTAGCGTACACAATATTCAACCCAAATTGTTCACATTTGATGTAAAACTGTATTTTTGCGTGAAAAATACAGGGAAAAAATGTAAGCGCGATTGGAGTTGATGATCAATTTTTATCAAATTTTTGAAGAAAAATGATAAATTTAATAAAAAAATGTATTTTTCCGCAAAAAACGAAAAAAATCGGACAAGTGCGAGTTACACTCGCACTGAAATCGAGGGTTCCGTACTCGAAGCGAACTTATTTGGTATAAAAACAAAGGTTTAAAAAATATGTGTTGTGTATTAAATAATATATGTGATACAAAAATGAACAATTTTTTAAAAAAAATTTAAGAAAATTGTTCCTCCTTTGGTATAAAAACAAAAAAAATTTTTAAATATGTGTTGTATTTCAAATAATATAAGTGATACGAAGAGGAACAATTTTCTTAAATTTTACAAATTTGTTCCTTTTTGTATCACTTAGGTAATCAAATTAACTAATTCTATTAGTTATTACACCCGAGTTACTTAATGAATTAGTCAGTTGAACGTAACCTCTATTATTTTCATGACGTATGTCATCTTCCATGGGTTTTTTTTAAAAATATTTTTTTGTTTTTTTTAGTATTATGTGATACTATAGCTTGTACTATGTTCAAAATATTTTGTTTGGTGCTTTAAATATTACTTTTGAAATTATTTATTTTTCAAAAAATTTTTTGATATAAACTAACCGTTAAATTTTTTTATTAATTTTATTTCACCAAAAGTAACTATGTATGTGTATCTAAACTGTCTTTAAGTAAATTAATAAATTACTATAAAGTGAAAATTTTAATAAAATCTTTAGTCAAAAAAAATCGGAAATAATATATCGAATGAACCACCAGAACGTAAAAAATTTTATATGAATTTTGCCAATATTATGCAATTTAACCCATGAAAACTGACTTTTAAAAATAAAATATTTTTTATACAATCATGAAGAAACTACATGCGAAAAATTTTATCTATGAAACTCGACTTTTCAAATTTAAAATTTTAGTATGAATAAGTTGATAAATTTTTATTGATTATTTACGATTTGGCGGTAAAATTGTATAATGACTAATGAATTAGTAAACAATTAGTAGTTTTAACTAATCAATTAGTAATTTGCGCCCCCGGGAGCCGCATTAAAAAGTTACTAATTCAATTAGTTAAACCAAAATAACTATTTGAATTAGTAAGTTTTTACTAATTATTAGTGACTCACTTTTTGCTTTTTGAATTAGTAAGATTCTACTATTAATTAGTTATTTTTAACTAATTCAGATTTAGAGAGATTGTCCGATTTTTTTTTATTTTTTTTCCTTTTTACTATTCTTGTTTTGTTACTCTTCCTTTATTTCTTCATGTTCAATTCTTGTTTGGTCCTCTTTTTTTAGTTGCATTTCCTCATGTTCATTTTTCTTCTTGTTACAAAGTAACAATATATTCTTGGTTAGAAGGAGATATAATAGTTTTATTAAATTTTTTTCGATAAAAGAGTAAATAGCTGTTTGAAAAAAAAATTAGAGAAAAAGAAGATATTCTCGTTTAACATTAAAAAAAAAGTTAATGTCATTTGTAAAAAAAATGTAGTATACTTTTGAATTTTAATGTTCAATTCAAACATAAATAATTTGTTTTTCTCGTATTTAATACTATATGATATAAAAAAGATATAGAAATATGAGAAAGGAATTGAGATATCTCTTATTCTCTTTTGTCCTTGTTTGAAGGTGAAAGAAGATTTTCTAGAGACGAAAATAAGAATGAAAGAAAAAAAAACGAAAGAATAAAGCACTTTGAGTAGAAAAACTTAATGGCTTTTGCTAAAGGTAGACAGGTTGTTAAGTGGCACGGTGCAAGTAACTTAGAGTATTAAGCATTATCGACTAATCCTGTACACTAATGGCGATTGTTAAGAAAAATAAAAAAGACGATATCATTACTTAATTGCAGTTTTCCTATAAATGAAATTAATTTTGATTTATTTTCCTTTTGCTATTTTATAAAAAATTTCTTCTCTAAATTTGATTGTAATGTAAAAACTTTTTTCACTTCCAATAATCTCAATATCGATAGTCTGACTATGACTGGATTTTACTACTGGGAACAGTGTCAATCTAATTCATACTTTAAAAGATTTACTATCAATATAAAAATAAGCTTCTGAAATACAATGAATTTTTTTATTCTAATATTAATAAAATAAATATGGACTTTATTTGATACTATATATAATATTAAGTATATATTATATTGATTTAATAATATATTAATGATAACTAATTATATTGCCTTGTCACGAATAAATTCACAATTCTGAGAAGAAATTACTTATTCATAAAATATGTAGTTTAACCACAAAAATTTCTAATAAAATTAAATTTTAGAAAGTTTCTTTAAATTATTGTACAGGAAGCATGGAAGCACGGAAATAAGAAAATAAAATGATGTCCAGTTTTCAAGAGATGAGTTTGTCGCCTCCCCCCCCCCTCTCTCTCCCTTTCTGCGAAAATACGTCTTAATTTTCAAACCACAATTAGAGAAAAAAATGTATATTAGAATTAAATTTAAATAAGAGAAACCTGTTTAGTTCAGATAGTTTAAAAAATCTGTGGGGAAATGAAGTAACTCCAAGTTACAATCCCCTCGAATTACAATATACACTTCTTAAAACTTCTGTAGCAAAAGAACAAAACTACTGCAACTTTTTCTGAATTAAAAAATTTCTTGATAATTAGTTGAAATTAGTTGATTTATTATTTTATAATTATAATATATATTTCAAAAATTAATTATTAATTACACTGAGTGAAACAATTGGTTCCAATTACCATTTCGTTAGTAAGAGTATTGTTGTTGATTTGTATTAATTACTGTTACCATTTAGCTAGTCTCCCTAACTATTTCGTTAGTAAGCTAACTAATTAAATAGATATTCCAACAAACTAAATAATTAAATCAACTAATAAAATAGTTATACCAACCAATAAAAATAGTAACCACAACTATAATAAATTAGCAGCAGTATAGTTTATACTAACTAAAAATGGTAACCTCAACCCATCTTTTCTATCAGTGTAATTATAATACAGATGCATTTAAATTATAAATATCATTTCAATAAAAATTTATTTATTTATTTATTTATTTTTACACGGGCAGTTCCCTTTCGTACAAATGTACTTAATTATAAAAATATAAGATGCAATGCAGGGTGGCCATTGAGCAAGAGCAAGAAAAAGCTAGATGTTCTTTGGAAAGTCGCTAGATGTCGCTAGCACATAAAGAGAAAAACTCTAGATATGTCGCTAGTTAATACAGAAAAAAATTAAATTTAAATTCAAAAATTGGTACTTTTATACTATAATTTTATAGAGGTTTGAAATATTTTTAAAGGTTTTTTTTAATAAAACAAATTAGTTATTACATAAAAGCTGTATTTTTTTAATATTCTACATGTCATAAACTCAAATATTTTTTTCCTTAGGAATATCGTCAACAATTTGAACTTTTTAAACTTTGGTTATTATCCGTATATCTTAGAAATAAAATATATAAATATTAAATACATAAATTTTAGTTTACATTAATTGTCGTCAATTGCATCCAATTCCAATATTTCAATTGCTCCATTCATTTCAATTTCATAAAAATTCACAGCATTCGATGAATAAGATTCTTTGGTACCTATTAACTGGACAACTGCATGAGGTATTTGATAATTGTGACAACACATTTTCAAACGCTTCAGTCCGTATCTTATTTGTAAGATAGAATTTAGCATGGGAAGTAGCATTCTGTTACTTAATTTAGTTTTGACTAAGTTCATCTGACTAAATACACGTTCTATGTCTGCATTTGATAAAGGCAACACCAACAAAGTTAAGGCCAACTCCCCTAATTCCTGAAAAGGATTTAATCCAGAGGCATCAGTATAAGAATTTACTTCTGACCAAAATGATAAAGTATCCTTTAAATCAGTCCAATTAACAGAATTCAAGTTTTGCCATTGATGCTCTATTTTCGTCACTTCGATGTTGTTCGAATAAAACATTTTTGCAACGTGAGTGATGCTTGGTTTGAATCTATTCAAACATTCATCCAACGAAAAAAGTCGAATTTTCTCCAAAACACCAATATTATCTGGTAAACGATCACGCAATTCGATTCCTAAATATTTTACAAAAGAAACGCACCTCTCTTTGATAATATTTTGATTTTCAGCGGAAATATTCTCTTGACGACAAGCATCCAAAAAAGAAAAACCTAAATAGGGATTCGAGTCCAAATGTTCTTCAAATCTATCTTTGTAAATATCAATTCTTGCATTAGGATTTACAATTATCTTAACAATGGATGCATATGTATTTTTAAGATCATTTAAAAGTTTTGTCGGATCCGCGACCGAAGACTCAAAGCTCTTAATTACACTTTGAACTGACTGTAAAATTGGCAAAAGAAATGACAGATAAACTTTATTAACAGAATCATTGTACATGGCAAATAATATTTCGGCTGTATAGCAGTTCTCATTTAAACGAGCAATTTGAAAATGAGTTTTTAATTCTACCCACTGATCTAGAATTCGAGACACTGCTGGCTCGATCGATAACCAACGTGTATTGGCCATCTTAGGAATTTGTAAAGGAGATTCATCATCGTTGATCAATTTATAAATTGTTTTATACTCATGACGTCTATTTGAAGATTTTGAAAACCATTTGTAAGTTTCTCGAATGAGAAACTCTATATTCCTAGGCAACGCTTTTTTGGAAGCTTCAGACACTGCGAGCTGGATAGAATGACACACGCACCTAATCAAAATCAAATTAGGCAAATTTAATTCTCTTTTTAATCTCTCATATATTCCATTGTGTACACCTACCATCGTGCTCGCATTGTCAGTTCCAATACCTTTTAAATTCTTAACTGGCAACTTAAAATTAGTTAAAGCGTTTTTAACAGCATTAGTAATTGTTTCCGCTGATCCATTTTCCACTTCAATTAAAGTAAGATATGTTGAAACAAATTCTTTACGTGATTTACTATAGTAACGTATTACTATACCTAAAAGTTTTGAAACACTAATATCTGTAGATTCATCCAGTAAGAAGCTATAAGGACTATCGCCAATGTCTAATATAAGATCAGCATTAAAATGTGGACCGAAAACATTTTTAATAATATTTCCACATTTTGTACGATGTAGATGAAGATCGTCCTTATGCAATTTATTTTGAAGATCAGTCAAATGATCTACTGAGCGCAAAGACGTGTGAACTGCACAGTATAAGCATATCGAAGCCTCTTTCCTTTTCGAATCGAAATTATCAGATTTCAAAACAATCTTGCGCTGGCGATTAGAAGAAAATGGTGCTGAATTTATTTTATGCTTCTCTGTATTTGCGTGCTTCTGCAGATCCGACAATTTTGCATTTAATGTTGTTTTGCAAAATTTGCAACTAGCTAATTTAAGGTTATCAGTAACTGGTTCCAACCAGTCTTTCAAAATAGGATCTTTTTCCCAAACTGCTCTGTATTTTTGTTCATATAATCGCGGTTTACTCATTTTTCTAAACAAAAAATTAAATTAATTGTTTTAAGCAAAATAAAACTAATATTTTTTTTTTAATTTTTAAGTAGTTGAATTATTATTAATTTTAATATTGTGATTATTTGAAGCTTTTATGTATATTTAAAAATGAATTCACTAAATTATTATATACTTACATAACAATAACTTAAATTCTGATAAAGAATTTGAAGTATAGCTCAGTCAATAAACAGAATTAGACATTTGCTGAAAACTATAAGTATATAATAAGAACTCTTTGATTCAAGAAAAACATATATTGCACTTATGATATATTAAATTAATTAGCATTGACATTGATTATACGTTATTATTTATTTTAAACTTTTATTATACCTTTGAGTTTATAAAATCTTGTTGAAATTATAAATAAAACTTGATTTGTTTATAAAAGAGGTTATGTTGACATAAACAGAATTTACTTAAATTTTTTATACGTGAAATAGAATAAAATATAATTCTAATACCATATAATTAGAGATTAAAAGAAAGAACTTCAAAACAATTTTTTTCACAATTCAGTTTGAATTGAAATGTTAGTCTATGATACATAATCGTATATAGAACTGTAATACGTATCAGCTGTTGAAACCTTAAGGTGAAACCGCTTGTCAGCGTAAATAACGTAAGGACATACGGTAAAACTAATAATCGGCCAATTAGAACAACTTATTAAATATTTTCAATCCGCAGAACTCACAGATTGGCTGATAATTTTACGCTAACACATTCATGTTTTCATGAGAATTCATCCTTTATACGTATGCTAGCGTGAAAACGTCTTTATATAGAAACTCACCAGATTGTCGCTATTGGCATAATAAAATCGCTAGAATTGTCACCAGTCGCTAGGACTCAAAAAAAGTCGCAAATTATTTTTAAAAATCGCTAGATCTAGCGACAAAATCGCTAAATTGGCCACCCTGATGCAATGATTCGGCGAAACATTGAAACATCAATTCTCAATTAGTACCAAATATCTCAGTACGCAAGTTGCTTATAAATCTACTTAAAGAAATACCATAAAAATCTATGCTATTATGGTGTTCGTTGGCTTCTCTTGTAATTCTGATCACAACAGAGTTATCTATATAATTTAATCTTTGCACTGACTGCCTGAACAAAATTGAATATCTAGATGGTTTATAAGGAACAGCAAAGTTAAGTAGTGATAGAAGCGGAGGACAATTTATAATACCATTAATACTTTTGAACATGAATAACAAATCAGTAAATAAGAATCTGTCCCTCAATAGAGGAATGCCCAATATACGTCTTAATTCAGTGTAATCATGACTGTATCTATCATATGGTATCCCCGTTCTTCTAGCAACAAATCGCATGAATTTATTTTGAACACGTTCAAGAGCAATTATTAAATATTCCTGATAAGGTGACTAAATTAGCGAAGCAAATTCAATAATTGGTCTAACCAATGAAAAGTATAATACCTTTAACGCCAAGACATTTTTGAACCGCGAAGCGTTTCTGGTGACAAAGCCCAAAACTCTAGTCGCATTATTAACAACATTTAAGATATGTGATCTAAAATCCAACTTTGAGTCTAGCGTAACTCCAAGGTCTCGGATCATGGACACTCTTGAAAGAATTTCACCATCAATAACATATTGATACTGTTCAAATTATCTCAGTCTGCTGAATGAGACTATATTACATTTTTTTATATTAAGAAACAATTTATTGTTTGATGACCAATTATAAAGCCGATCAAGATCTGATTGAAGATCAATAGCATCTTGCGCACAAGTTATTATTTTAAATAATTTAAGGTCATCGGCAAACAAAAGGCATAAACTATGTTTAAATATAGTTTTGATATCATTAATAAAAAGCAAGAAAAAAAGTGGTCCAAGATTCGATCCCTGGGGTACACCAGAGGTCGCTAAAATAACATCTGAAAACTCATGTTCAACACGTACCGATGAATATCTATCAGCAAGATAACTCTTAATCCAGATAATTAAATCCACTGAAAAACCTAAAGCCTCTAGCTTCGACATCAGAATCGCATGATCAACCTTATCAAAAGCTTTCGCAAAATCAGTATAAATCACATCCACTTGAAGACCTTTTCCGATATGAGATGCTACAAAGTTAGTAAACAGTGTTAAGTTAGTCAGTACTGATCTTCTTCTCATAAAGCCATGCTGTTCATCAATTATCAAGTGTTCCGCCTGCTGATAAATCATATCAAAAACAATACTCTCAAAGACTTTAGGTATTGCACTAAGTAATGTTATAGCACGATAATTTGTTACACTCTTCATATCCCCGTCCTTGTGAATCGGTACAATAAAACCCCTTTTCCATTCATGCGGAAATACTCCCGATGCTAAAGATTTATTAAATCAAATATATACCGGATAGACAAAAGCAGAACTGAAAATTACTATATTAATTTCTCAACTCCTAAAAAAACATCATTTTCTGGCATAATTAGAAAATCACGCTTCGTTGGCTTCAAGGGGATTTCGGTTTTTTCACAAATGGTGATTTTAAAATCTTTTAATATCTTAATTAAAGCAACTTTAACTTGCAGAAGACCAAATCGCTTACCTGAAATATTAATAACAATATTAATATAATTATAAACTATATAATATTAAATACAATTACGGTGGAAAATTTTTCAATTACTTTTAAACCAGACATATAGTCTTAATAATTGTATTAATTTATTTTAAATTATTTTATTTTTAGCACAATACCGATGCAAATCCTTGGCCCTTCTCCAAATGGTAGGTAAGTAAAAGCATGTCTTTTGGCAACTTGATCAGAATCAAATCGCTCTGGTTTGAATTCTTCTGGGTTTGGATAAAAATTTGAATCGTTTTGTAAACCCAATATAGGGATAATTATTTTCATTCCTTTTCTAATGCAGAAACTAGAATTGGGAATTTGATAATCTTTTAGGCAGACTCTGTTCAAAATTGGAACAATAGGATGCTTTCGTAATGTTTCTGAAATAGATAAATTAAAAAAAAATTTATTAGATATAAAATTACAATATCTAAATATTTAAGATAGGTTTGTATGTTAATATTAATAATTTATCAATTTAGAATACCTGATACAACTTTATCGAGGTAACTCATTGCCTGAACATCTTCATAAGTTAATGTAGTACGGCTTCTTAGTGTATTATTAATTTCTTTACGTAACTTTTCTTGAATTTCTAAATTTTGAGCTAATTCATGTAAACAGTAAGTTGTTGTTGATGACGAAGTTTCAAATCCCGCAGCAAAAAATACGAAACTTTGTGCACATGCTGTTGACATGCTAATTGTATCAGTATTTTTTTCTGAAACAAACATTTGTTCCGAAAATATAATAAATGCACATTTTTCAAAATAATTCATGTGGAAAATGGTCATAGTTTCAAAATAAAAAAATAAGGGTCATTCTACGCCAAATCGATGACCTTGCGCCCAGTACAGTTTATAACAAAAACATTTTTTTATAGCGGCAACAAATAGGTAATAATACTACATTTAAAAGGTCATGTGGCCCGATTAAAAATTCAAAATGTCCACAAAGTTGAGTCGCGTTCCAAGACTCGAAAAAGTAACGCAATGCGCCCTCTTTTTTCAGTGTAGGATGAATATTAGGTATACTTTTAACGATAAAAAAACACACTATATAGATAAGTGTAAAAAATACCAAATGGAATTAATTAAATTAGATAAAAAATAATCAAATTAGAAGTAGCTTAATTGCGATTGTTACTTATTGTTTGCGTCAAACATATTTTATAAGTACAAATGTTTATTTTTAAAAAGTAATATGAGTTTTATGACTCAATAATTGTCATAAATAAAAAACACTAGGTTTAAAAAAATGTTTGATAAATAAAAACATAAATAATAGGTAATAATTCTACTAATTTCCAGCATACGTTCATACGTTTGACCCTAAATCATTGAAGAATTACGACTTAGTTGTTCTTAATATCTTAAAATTTTTAAAATCTGATATCAGTACTAATGCACGACTAGACTCTGTTCTTTCATAAAAGAAAAAATATGAAAATATAAAATTCAATTGTTTTCATTGTTTTTCTCGCGAGATTCACGGTTTTTCGAGACGAGACTCGCTCGAAGTGCATCACTAGCATATCAGATTTTTAATCAGCGGTTCTAATAACATCTTGGTATAGATCTTGATTTAGATCTTTTGTAGACTTTATCTATATCTTGATATAGATGTTGATTAGGACTCACAACACAATTAACATGTGAGTTTTTAGCAAGCTTGTGGTAACCAAAACTATTAAAATAATTACCAGACTGTTGTTTCTTTTGTGGATTTTTACTTTCTTCATCCTCCTCCACTTCTCCATGCACCATAAGCTGAATTAATAAATTGAGAAAATCTTTTCTGACCAAATGATTATTGCGTCTTTGATTAATTACATCTGTGAAGACTGTATTAAAAAAGTATGCAACGTCTTTAGGAATAAAAGGCACTTTAAGAATATCGAGAACTTTTGAGCAAAACATCGCAGATGATATTATAAATGGATTTATATCAAAAGACTTCTTCCCATATAATCGGAACTCTGTATCTGGATTTTGTAAACTGTTACACTCAAACCCAAATGCAATTGAAGCAATAACGTCAGTTGTGAATCTATATAAAATTCATTTCAGTTATTTTTATTCACAAAATTCTTTTACAAACATTTCTAAACACAATCTTTTGTTTTACAAAGATGTAACATAATCTTACCTGCCCATTAGGTCCTTAATTTCCACTGTGTTTGATTTTTCAAATTGATTACTGAACTCTTTCCTAAGATCATCACCTATTTTTTCCATTAACGGAAACAATTGTTTTATTTTACCCGACGTAAAAGTTGGCGAAAGTTTTGATCTGAGATGTTTCCATTCTTCTCCAGGAAGACGAAATAAATGAGCTGATAATGGATCAATCTCTTTGTTTAAATATAAACCACGATCTTGAAAATAATTAAAATCTTTCACCATGATAAGACGAATTAATTCAGGATCGTTAATTATTAAATGTGGCACATAAAGCATGTACATTCCATGGTAGGGTTGTAGTTTGTGACGTTCGTAACTCTCTTTGATTAAGTTACCTTGAAAATAAATAATTTTTCATTGAATATACTTTTGCAGCTATTACAGCATATATAATAATTTATTCAACAAAAATCAAATATTTTACCAATGCATTTTTGTCCTACAAAAATAGGCAATAAACTTCCAAAAGGTATTATAGAATCCTCTTCTGGGACATCATTCTTTTTGAAATAATTGTAAGTTATCAATTTCAAATAGAAATAAAAAGCAAACACAAAAGATGTAATCCAAAATAATTTGGAATACAAGACAATGTCAGCTAATTCCCACATAATTTATTATTCAATCTAAATGTTTTTAAATATTTTACCTTATCCATATCACACCACAACTATATGAGAATATAATAAATTTACACAATACCTTAAGAACATACTTTTAAAATTATTTTTTTTATTAAATAATTTTTTGAAAACATCACACAAATTTCAATAAAAAAAACTACCAATGCCTTTGCACACACTTCAACTCGTGGCTACGATCAACGAGAACTGAAGTATTATCAGCTATTTAATTTCTTTTTATTTACATTCTGTTAGCATGTTATCATTAGTTCAGTAAAAAATGTTTGATAACTTAACAAAATTACAAAATCAGCATTTAATATCAGTTAAAAAATATTACACGTTTATAATAATTATATTTGTAAATTATGTATACTATTTGAGATTTTAAAAAACGTATTGAAATAATTTTATAGCTTTATTTAACTAAAAATATTATTTTATTATTTGTTATAGAAAATATAATTAAAACAAAAATTATTTATAATAATTATTATTTCCTTAATCTTTCAATTCCTAAAAATACATCACTCTCTGGCATATTAAGTATATTCCGCTTTGTTGGCTTCAATGGTATTTCAGTTTTTTCACAAATGGTAACTTTATATTCTGACAATATTTTAATTAATGCAACTTTTACTTGCAGAAGTCCAAAGCGCTTACCTGAAACATTAGTAAGAGTGATTGTAATATAATAATTAACTACAACATTTAATACAATTATGGATTAAAAGTTATCGATAACTTTTAAACCAGACATAGTCTTTAATAATTCGCTGGGTTAGTGGAAAAAAAGGACACGTCTTGGTTAAATCAAACGGACGTGTCCTTTTTTCCCACTAACCCAGCGAATTGTATTAATTTATTTTCAATTATATTTTTAGCACAATACCGATACAAATCCTTGGCCCTTCTCCAAATGGTAAATATGTAAATGCATGTCTTTTGGCAACTTCATCAGAATCAAATCTCTCTGGTCTGAATTCTTCTGGATTTGGATAGATTTTGGAATCATTTTGCAGACCCAATATGGGTATAATTATTTTCATTCCCTTTTTAATGGAAAAACTAGAATTGGGAATTGGGTAATCTTTCAAGCACACTCGGTTCAAAATTGGAACAATTGGATGCTTTCGCAATGTTTCTGAAATACAGTATAAATTGGTTTAAAAAATGTTAAATTATAGGTACTATTCAATTATTTTAAAAAATTGATATGCTTGTAATAAAAATTTAATTTACAATACCTGACACAACTTTATCAAGATAACTCATTGCTTGAACATCATCATAAGTCAACATAGTGCGACTTCCCAACGTATCATTAATTTCTTTACGTAACTTGTCTTGAACCTCTAAATTTTGAGCCAATTCATGCAAACAATAAGTAGTTGTTGATGACGATGTTTCAAATCCCGCAACAAAAAATACAAAACTTTGGGCACATGCTGTTGCCATGCTGATAGTGTCGGTATTTTTTGCTAAAATAAGAATTAACATTTGTGAGTAGAACGATAAAATAAAAATTTCCTTAATAAAATTACATAATAATAGTAATAAAAAATTACTGCTGTCGCTCACTTAAAACTATTAAAAATAATTACTGTATGTTTAACGTTACAATAATTATACCATTCTGTTGTTTCTTTTGTGAATTATTAATTTCTTCATCTCCGTCAACAATTCCATGATCCATAAGCTGAATTAATAAATTGAGAAAGTCTTTCCTGACTATTTGATTGTTGCGTCTTTGATTTATTACATCCCTAAAGACTGTAGTAAAAAAATGTGCAACATCTTTAGACATAAGAGGTATTTTAAGAATCTCGACAACTTTGGAGCAAAACATCATTGATGTTGTTATAAATGGATTGATATCAAAAGACTTTTTCCCATAGACACGAAATTCAGTGTTTGGATTTTGTAAACTGTTACATTCAAACCCGAATGCAATAGAAGAAATCACGTCAGTTGTGAATCTGTATAGAAATATAGACACTGATGAATATTCAACTCGATTCAATATAAATTATGAGTAAAATTTTCTATCTTGTTTCATAAAGTCGAATTTTTATTTATGAATTCTATGATTCAGCAGAATTATAACTGAATAGAGCTTTTATTTTACAGAATGTTTAATGAAGAAAACTTTCATTACAACGAATTTTTATTTGCCATTGTCCGTCAAAAATATTTCGGAGTCAATTTTAAAATTGGACTTCCCAGGTAGAAAAATTAACATTACTAACGTTACTAATATTACTAACGTTACTAATGTTACTAACGTTAGTACCTATAAAAAAATTAAGAAAATGTTTCTAAATTATATTTTTGCAGAAACTTGTCGAAAATCGACCACCAGGAAGTATTTAATGTTCTTACCCGCACTTTTTATAATTTTCATTCCTATTATCACTTCCACTTTTTTATTTTCATTACCGTTTCCACTTTCACTTTTTCTAATTCTCATTCCCATTTTCACTTCCCCTTTTTATAATTTTCATGCCCATTTTCATTTTCACTTTTTTATTTACATTACCACTTTCACTTCCACTTTTTCTAATTCTCATTCGCACTTCCATTCCCACTTCCACTCTTTCGAATCCTCATTTCCACTTTCACTTTTTCTAATTTTCATTCCCTTCACTTTTTTATTTTCATTACCACTTCCACTTCCACTTTTTCTAATTTTTATTCCCACTTCCCTTTTTCTAATTTTCATTCCCACTTCTACTCCCATTTTTTCCACTTCTAATTTTCATTAGCTGTTGTCATTTCGACTAAAACTCTTTCTAATTTCTATTTACACAACCATTTCCACTTTTTTTAATTACCATGGATGGAAATTAGAAAAAGTGAAAGTGATAATGGAAATTTAAAAAATTAGGAATGGAAGTGGGAGTGAAAATATAAAAAAGTTGTAATGAAAATAAAAAAGTGAAAGATAAAATGGGAATGAAAATTGAAACAAGTGGAAATAGGAATGAGAATGAAAATTAGAAAAAGTGGTAGTGGCAATGAATATAAAAAACTGGAAGTGGAAATAGGAATGGGAATGAAAATTAGAAAAAGTGGAAGTAGCAATGAATATAAAAAAGTGGAAGTGGAAATGGGAATGAAAATTAGACAAAATGGAAGTGAAGTGGGAATGAGAATTAGAAAGAGTAGAAGTGAGAATGGAAATGCGAATGAGAATTAGAAAAAGTTTAAGTGGAAGTGAAAGTGGTAATGGGAAAGTAGTGGCAAAGTGTCTGTGAAAATATATTTTAGAAACTCTTAATTTTTTTATAGGTACTAACGTTAGTAACATTAGTAACGTTAGTAATGTTAATTTTTTCACCTGGGATTGTTAATATTAAATTAAGTTCCGAAATGTTTTAATCTATTATTTGTTAGGAGAAATTTTTTATTCAGTCAATAGGACAATTTAATTCACTAAATATTTAATCAAATAAGTTTAAGTGCATATTCCTAAATTCCAAAACTTACCTGCCCATTAGGTCCTTAATTTCCACTGTGTTTGATTTTTGAATGCGATTATTCAATTCTTTCGAAAGATTCTCACCTATTTTTTCCATTAATGGAAAAAATTGTTTTATTTTACCCGAGGTAAATGTTGGCGAAAGTTTCGATCTGAGATGTTTCCATTCCTCTCCAGGAAGAAGGAATAAATGAGCTGATAATGGATCGAGCTCTTTGTTAAAATATAAGCCACGATCTTGAAAATAATTGAAATCTTTCACCATGATAAGACGAATTAATTCAGGATCGTTAATTATTAAATGTGGCACATAAAGCATGTACATTCCATGGTAAGGTTGTAGTTTGTGACGTTCGTAACTCTCTTTGATTAAGTTACCTTGAAAATAAATAATTTTTCATTGAATATACTTTTGCAGCTATTACAGCATATATAATAATTTATTCAACAAAAATCAAATATTTTACCAATGCATTTTTGTCCAACAAAAATAGGCAATAAACTTCCAAAAGGTATTATAGAATCCTCTTCTGGTACATCATTCTTTTTGAAATAATTGTAAGTTACCAATTTCAAATAGAAATAAAAAGCAAACACAAAAGATGTAATCCAAAATAATTTGGAATGCAAGACATATTACACTCTGATAAACTTACTACTTTTCTTGAGAGGTACACAATTCAACGTGTGGCTGCGATCAACGAGAACTGAAAAGTGAAGTATTATCAATTATGTTGATTCATTTTATTTACAAATAGTGCATGCAAGTCATCTTTAGTGAGCGTAAAATGTTTGATAGCTTAACAATATTGCAAAATCAGCATTTGTTAGCAAATTTAAGAATAAGTTGTACTTTGCTAATTAAATTATTAAATTCATAAATTATGAAGCATTTAAAATTTGAAAAAAATATTGTAATTAAAAAAAAATTCTCATTGTTTAAACTGAAATATACAGCTATTTAGATAAATTAAATTATTAAATTATAAAATTTTCATTTGAATTTAAAATTTTTAATAATTTATAATAATTGGGTTCCATATGATATTATTAAAATTTAGAAATGTTAAACTTCACTGAGAAAAAAAAAATTATAGCCATTCCATTATATTTTAACTAAAAACGTTGCTGACTAATTTAAAAAAAAAATTATAATACATTGCAGATATGAGTTTAAAATTAATAATATTTCGATTTATTTTATTTCAACATACTAATTTTCTGAGCAAACCTTGGGAATAATCGAACCTACTTTTTAGAAAATAGAGACAAAAAAATATTTATAAATTATAGATAAGAAAAAAAGGAAGTATACTATTACCTTCGTAGGGTATTATTTACATTCGAGAAAGGGTATGATTTTGGCAAACTTAACTGTTGACTTAAACATATCTTTGAATGTCATAGGAGAATTTTTTGAAGGTCATTTCAATTCTACGTTTTTGTTTTTAAACTGAATTGTGCGCTGAAAATTTTGCAGTTATTTACTGGAAATCAAAAGTACAAGTTAAAAAACAAAAATTTTAAAAATTTAAAGTAATTTGTCATCAAACGTTAAGGTAAGCTAAATAATCCTATTCTAGAAAAAAAAATGTTATAAGAAATTTAAAAGCCATTTTCCTTTAAATAAATATTTTTTTCAGTGTACTAATGACCTCAGTTCAATTCATTCATATGAAACAACTTTTTACAATTTGATTACTAAGAATCTAAGTAATTTACCAATAATAATACTAAAATTAAAAAAACTACAAAAAGCTTAAAGAAGCTTTATGAACTTTGTTAAATTTTATTGAATTTAAAGAGTTTATAAAAAAGATAACAATCACATCAAAATGTCTATAAAATTTATAGTATGGATTTTTAATGTATACATAATAATCTGCATCATTGGACGAAAAATTAATTGGTTAGACAATTTTATAGAATTCATACAAAACGATAATAAAGAACATCAAGTATTACTTCTTTTGGATCAGAAATAAAGATACGAATCATTAACAACAGAAGTTATTGTTAAAAAGTTTTCAAACAATTTAAATGTCAAGCAAATTCATCACAAAAACATAACTCCACAGATGTTTTAAAATTTGAATCTATTATCTGATTTTGGTGATCCTCGAACAATAATGATTGTCATCATTTTATCGCATAGAAATGAAAATTTTCACGAAATTATTGAAGTTTTGACAAAAATTCAGGCAGCAAAAAGACGATCGAGATTTCTGATTATCAATACCGAAGAGCAGGAGAAATTGGTTCGCAAAAAGCAATTGCGTTTCATGTGGAACAAGAAAATTTTAGATGCAACAATTCTAGAAATAACTGGAACCAATTCAATGGAAAGATATATTCAAAATTGTTTTGAACAAAAGATAAAATTAAATGAAAGAGTCACTATTTATCAGTACAATCCATTTACAAAAATTTACAAACGATCAAATTACTCGAAAACTGTTGTTTGGTTTCCGGCAAAAGATCAAAATCTCAATAAATATTTGATGAAAGTTGGAATAACGGACTATTCACCATTTGTCATAATTGATGAAAACAATAATAATACTGTAAATAATCCTCGCGGGAATAATATTGAAGTGATCAAAGCTCTCTCACAAGCTATGAATTTTAATATAATTTGGAAGAATTCTGTATGGGGATTTATAAATTGTAAAAAGGGGACTAATTTGGGTCTCATGAAAATGTTGTTATTCAACGAAATTCATTTTATTGGCCTCGAAGCAATCTATGATAAATTTTGTCATGATCAAATGTTAGAATGGACCAAAGTTGGAAGTCGCGTTGTCAATATTGGTATTTTAGTACCAATTATTCCAGGTAATTTAAGAGTAATATTATTGTACAATCAAATAATCGATGGATGTGTCCTAAGTGTTTTATTTTTATTAACTTGGCAATTATTCCGAAGTTTCTCACATGAAAGACAAAATTTAACATTACTAGAATTACTAGCAATCGTCTTGAGCGTTATTTTTTTACACTGTTAACGAGTTTTAGTCTAAAAGAATACGTTCCACAAGAAATAAATACAGTTGATGATGTTGTTTCTTCGAAATTGAAACCTTTTATATACGTAAATAATTACAAAAAGCTGCAATATTTTAGTGATGAAAAATTTAAAAATTTCTTAAAAAAATCATCATTAGAATTTCCATATAATGAAAGTTGTTTACAACAGGCTTTCACTGGAAAACATGTCGCTTGTGTTGGGAGAACAGAATATTTAAAATTAATGACACAAATTACATTGGATCATTGCCATCAACCAGTAGCTAAAGTGATATAGGAATTTCTTTATTCACATACATTGTCATTGATGCTTGCACCTGCATCACCGTTTGTTGGACAATTTGAGAAGCTTATGCAAATATTTATTCAATCTGGTCTTTCTGACAAGTGGCTTAAAATGAAATTTTTAGAAACCTCATATCAAAATGGAAGTGTAACAGAAACATGTGAAACTCGAGGAAGTGAAGCTATATTAAATTTTCAAATTTTAAGTCTTGTTTTGATTGGATATATTGCCTCGATTATTGTATTTCTCTTCGAAATTATTCAAAATCACTTTGTGAAATAAATCAGTCGATGAATTATATGGCCATTGTGGTTTGAAGAACAGAGAGACAGATTAGATTATTGATGCATTAATAGCTGATATTTCAATAATTCTAGTAATTATCAATGATGAAGAGCTGTTATGTACAAAATTTGAGATGCATGAATAAGCTCTAAAATTAATTTGTTAAAATTTCATTTCTTAGAATTTACTTTTAGTCGAATTTTTATTTCTTCGAATTATTATTTAACAGAAATTCCATTCAAGCGAATAAATTATCTGGTAGAAAAATTTAGGTGCTTTTAAAATTAACCAATCGATATCAAGTATCATTCAGTGAAATAAAAATTCGGCTAGAAAAGAATTCTTCTGAGATATTTTGTTGAATTAATTATTATAAAATACTTGAGAGTTACCTCACATCTAACTTCACATTTTCTAAAAATTTCGAAAGTATAATAATAATAATTTAATAATAATAATAATAATAATAATAATAATGTATTCAACCAAATATTTCAGTTTTCATGTTCAATCATAGAATTTCTGCTAAATTTTTTTTTATCAAAGAAACTATAAATAGCTTGACGTTTAAAATTATTAACTTTCTCTATTGTATTCGAAGTCGGCGATATATTTTATAAAGAACTTTGCAACTTGAATGAACTTGAAGGTTGAGATTACGAGAAGCGCGCCTGTTGTCTCTGTGCATTTGCCGTTAGATGATTGAATTACGTCATAGTTGATAACGTGAGCAACATAGTAAATGTAAGTTGTCGATCAACTATTATAAATTTCACATGCGTAATTAATAAATTATGATTTATCGCTTTTTATTATATTTACATTATAATCATATGAAGAATTTTTTATAAACTTTTTTTTTCTAAAATTTTTTAAAATTCAGTGAATTTGTTTGTCACTTCTTTTTTTTTAAAAAACATTTTATCGATGGTCTACTGTAGAAATTTTTTTATTCTATTAAATAAGTTCCAGTTTGTCACACTTTCTACGAATACTTTGAATTTTTTTTTTTTTTTTTTTTTTTTTTTTAAAGGAGAGGTTGATTTGCTAAGAGTTGAATTTTTTCAAATGTCAAATCGTGTATAGGACTTTCTTGGCATTTTTGAAACAGTCGAACGATTGTATTGCAACATCGATTCTTTTCTTCGACTATACACAGCCGCTAAATGCCAAGCTTTCGTGATCAAATCTAGGATTATCGGCTGAAGATTATAAATGGCGCATATATATGTGTGTATGTGTGCGAGCTCAAAGAGAGGATATCCTGAATTCAACAGGAGATCGTTAGTTGTCGCATATGTTATTCGCAAACGAGAATAAACAGTTTTGACCTATTAGGAATAATTTGCATCTTCTCTATACTATATACTTTGAAAAATCGATAGGTCAGAACCGTTTTATTATACCATTATTATTATTATTATTATTATTATTATTATATAAAAATCCCTTTATCTAATTACAAACTTCAAACAATATTTTCTTTTTTTTTTAATGAAAAAAGTTTATTGGAAAATTTATAAAAATATGATATAAAGTCTATAAATATGCGAATATACTATTTTCTTTCTCACGAACAGATGAGATATACCAGGGATATTCAAATTTTCATCCCTTGGGACATTCCACGTAGGATATATTGAAAAACTTGACAAAACTAGTTGAATTCAATCAGTATTTTATGAGGAAACGATTTGACAAATTAATATCACGACTATTATTTTATCTAACATTAATAAAAATGTTATTAAAATTAATTTTGAACAGTTTTTTTTAAAAATATTTTTCCTAAAATTTACTGTTGAAAATAATAAATTTCATCTTCTTAGATAAACAATTGATAACGATACGGAGAAAAAGAAAAAGTAATTTTTACTACTTTCAGAGTAAAACTGGACCAACTCGAAGTTTCTGCGCATCTCTGGCAATTTTTACTCCAAAAATAGTAAAATTTATTATTTCTGTAGTAAATTTTACTGTTTCCGTAGTAAGTTTTACTATTTCTAGAGTAAATTTTACTATTTTTGGAGTAAAAATTGCCAGAGATGCGCAGAAACTTCGAGTTGATCCAGTTTTACTCTGAAAGTAGTAAAAGTTACTTTATAAAAGAAATCTTTTTT